CAGCCAGTGCTCTTAACCACTGAGTCATCTCTCCAGCCCTGAAACAGGTTAGTTTAAAAGAGCTATCCAGACACATCCCACGAGAGGCTAATCTTTATAATTATGGCTGACACAGAGAATGAGAATAGGACAGTAAAACAACGGAGAAGTCCTCAGAACTGTGTAAAGGTCCTCATTTCTGCAACTGTCAGTGATCAGAAATGCTCAATACAATTTGTTCCTTCATGTACTTGGCTCGTCTTGAAGTCCTGTGCACTGAAACAACCCACATCTTAAAAACAAAATAGCAGGGGTGGTGGTGGCGCACGCCTTTAATCCCAGCACTTGGGAAGCAGAGGCAGATGGATTTCTGTACGTTCAAAGCCTGCCTGGTCTACAGAGTGTTCCAGGACAGCCAGGGCTACACAGAGAAACCCTACTTCCAAAAAAAAAAAAAAAAAAGAAAGAAAAACCAACAAACAAAACTATCTTTCAGACCTGGTGCTCAAACCCAAGGACTTGCACTCACTAGGCAGTCACTTGACCAGTAAGAAACATTTCAGCCGAAACCCTCCTGACGGTGTCTGGGCTGTCAGCGGTCTAGCCTGCCCACCCTCCTGACGGTGTCTGGGCTGTCAGCGGTCTAGCCTGCCCAAGATGCTGTCACTTTTATCGTCACATTGGACGGGAGCCCTGGGGTCCCCTGTCACAGACATGTTCTTCCTTAGCCTCCGAGTGTAGCCACAACCCAATTTCATTTTTTTTCAATCAAGACTGGCCACTGAATACAGTGTTTTCCCTGTTGGTTCCTTCGTCCCAAGTGGGCAGGGGACCGTCTACTTCTAATTTCATGGAGCCATTGTTGAATCCCTTGACGGAGGTATTTCCTCCAATGAGAACGAAAACTTCTGAACCAAGAAAGCTCAGCGCTGCCTTCTAATGAATGAACCAGGTGATGTACGCTCTGTGGTGAGCGGCTCGAAGCATGTTGACTTGGTAACGCGTATCTGATCCAGCACTCGGGGGCTCAGGATTTGAGGACAGCAAATTAGGAGCTGTGTCTCAAGAACAGAATAGTATCTGGGTGGTGGTGGCACACATCTTTGATCCTAGCACTTGGTAGGCAGAGGCAGGCAGATCTCTTGAGTTTGAGGCCAGCCTGATCCACAGAGGGAGTTTTAGGACAGCCAGGGCTGCACCAGTGAAACCCTGTCTCAGGAGAGAGAGCAGAATAGTATGTGCAGAGGATGGCATAGCTGTCCATCAAAATCCTCACAGTCTCTGCTGTCACTCACATAAGTGATTCTGGCAAAGGCTCCATAGAGCATCCCTCCCTTTCACAGACACTGAGGTGGAGCCTAAGTACCAAACTGTAGTGATATTTTGTTTGTGATCTAACAAATGAAGCTTGCCTGAAGATCAGAGTGCAGAGCTAAGCCACTAGTTAGCCATAGAAGCCAGGCAGTGGTGGCACAAATCTTTAATCCCAGCACGTGGGAGACAGAGGCAGAGGGAGCTATGTGAGTTCAAGGCCACCCTGGGCTACATGAAATTGATCCAGTCTAAAAATGAAATAGAGCCAGGTGATGGTGGCCCATACCTGTAATCCCAGCACTAGGGAGGTGGAGACAGGAGTGATATGGTTGGGTGGAGAGAGGAATATAAGGTGGGAGGAGACAGGAGCTCAGATGCAGTCTGAGCAGCAGTCTGAGGATTCATAGAGATAGATGAAGTCTGAGGTTTTGTAGAGACAGTAGCAATCTCAGGATTTGTAGAAATAGAATTGTCCCTTCAGTGTGAGGATTCGGTAGAGGTAAAAAGAATTCTCTAGTGGCTGACTGCTTTGCTTCTCTGGCCTCTCAGCTTTCACCCCCTAAAAACTGACTCTGGGTTTTTATTATTAAGAACAATTAGAATTCGCGCTACATTTGGAACCCAACTTTCGGCACACCGGTACAGCCTATCCCTGTGGCAGCCTCCTCTTGTCCTCTACTACCCTCAAAACTAGCAGCGACTCTGATTTCTCAGCCAACGGTTGGAAGAAGCCAAACCATTTCAGTAGACACGGTGTCTCTAGTAGTGGGATGATGTCCTGTAGGTGCAGAGGTGTGTAAGGCACACGAGGGGCCATCAACCCAAAACAAGCTGCTCTGGCAAGAGCTATCAGTCGGGGACAAAAAGATTTCACTAGCTCAGGTGGTGGAGGTTGTATAGCTTTGGTCCAGCCAAAAGCCCAAATGCTGCATCTCCAACAGCAGCTAGGGTTTATAATAGTCCACTGCCATTCTCCTGAATTTTCTTCCTCACAGACAAGTACATGCATAAGATGGAGATATGGTAGGGGAGGAGCATTCGTCTTCTCAATTTGGTTGGCATTGTGGTATTTTTGTTTACTATCTTGACAGTTCTGGTGGCTTCCATTTGCGTCTCTCCCCCTTATCCTCACTCCCTCCCTCTACCTCTCTTTCAAGATAGTCTCACTACGTAGCCCTTGGCTGGTCTAAAACTTCCTATATAGATCAAGCTGACCTCAAACTCAAAGTTTCTGCCTCTGGAATGCTGGGATTAAAGATGTGCATCACACCCAGCAGTGTGGACTTTTCTATCAGGATGGTCCTCATCACACAGGCTAAAGGACTCATCTGTGAACTTAGCCGAGGCTATCCGTTCCCACTGCGCCGCCTGGACCTCTGCTTGTATAGGTAAGTAAAACCTTTGTAGATTGCATTTATTTCAGCCCTAAGGGCACGGCACTCAATTAGCTAAAGTTATCTATAGATGAAGAGGACTCTACTTCAAAATTTCCAGGTTGTCATCCTTTTTTTTTGGGGGGGGGGGTTTTGAGGCAGGGTTTCTCTGTAGCTTTTGGTAGACCAGGCTGGCCTCGAACTCATGGCGACCCCCCTGCCTCTGCCTCCCAAGTGCTGTGATTAAATGCGTGCGCCACCACTGCCTGGCTGGTTTTTCTCTCACTCAAGGTGCTTTTGGCTTCTTCTTCTTTTAAAGATTTATTTATTATGTGAGAAGGGCTTATGAACAGGCACAGGGGAACCTAACAAGGGGAAGAGAGCTGACGGAAGGGGAGGGAAAGGATGATGTGGTCTGTCTGACATCTCTTAGACATAGCAGCTGGAGGGAACCCTGCCATAAAGGAACTATTACAAGAAGGCTGTATTTTCTTCCCTTCTTCTGAATTTGAGGGGGTGGTGAGAGGGGTGGGAACCCCTGGCATGTTAGTCTAAACGGAAGCCAGAGATCTGATGCTAACTTGGCTCACCCAAGTCAATCTGTGGAGAAAGTGAGGAAGTAGCTAAGACAGAGACATTTGGACCCTAGACTCTAGGGAGGATGGAAGTGTGGCCATAGAATCCACACCCTCCTACAGTATGGAGCGCCGCCCCTACAGCAGTTTCAAGGGGTTGAGCACAAGTCCCCATGTCTTCATAAAGACAATAGAGTCAGAGCTGAATCTCCAACAGGATAACCAGGTGTGACTTTTTCCTGCAATAGGGCTTCTCTACATAGCCCTGATTTGGAGCTCACTCTGCTGGCCTTCAACACAAAGATCGGCCTGCCTCTGCCTCCTGAGTGTTGGGATTAGAGGCATGCATCACCACCACTTCAAACTGTAAGTGTCTGTAAATCAATTTAAATCTATACTCTAACTCCTGTTACGTTAAGCCAGCACTTGTGCTAAACTCCACATCACACCTAACATGCCAAATCCACCAAGATCAAGAGTTTTTGAGGGGAGGGAGTAGAGGGAGATGGAGATCCTTTTGCCACAACCTCCAGAGCGGCTAAACTTGAGTGTTATGCTGCTCTTCACGATCCATTTTTGTACAATGCTTTGGCAGATGGGAGATCCTTTTCTTGCAATATGGACACCCACTAGGCTCAGCATTTTTATTTTTTGAAAGGGTTTCGCTGTAGCTTTTGAGCCTGTCCTGGAACTTGCTCTTGTAGACCAGGCAGGCCTCGAACTCAGAGATCCGCCTGCCTCTGCTTCCTAAGTGCTGGGATTAAAGGTGTGTGCCACCACTGCTCGGTTAGTTCAGTATTCTTTGATTAGGTTTGTCAATCCATTGCTGGTGTGGTGGCACTTGCCTTGAATCTGAGCACTACTGAGGCCAACGGGATTAAGAGTTGAAGGCGGGTTCTGGAGAGATGGCTCAGAGGAGGTTAAGAGCACTGGCTGCTCTGCTAGAGATCCTGAGTAGGATTCCCAGTAACCACCTAGTGGCTTACAACCATCTTTAATGAGACCTGGTGCTCTCTTCTGGCCTACAGGCATATGCAGGCAGGCAGAACACTGAAAAGATAATAAATAAATCTTAAAAAAACAAAAGTTGAAGGCCAGTTTGGGCTGCATACTGAAGTTTTTGCAATAAGTAAAGCAAAGCTGTGCTACCTACTTTGCAGCTTGTTATTTTCCCCCATCCCACAATGGTCTAGACAGTCATCTTTCAGTGGAGTCCTGCATTTGTTTGTATGAATCTATAATGTTGTGGCAAGCCCCCCCCCCCCCATACAGTTTACGGGTATTCACAGAAGTGTCTAAGACTGGAAATGCTGAGCTCAAACCAAGGACACTGGGTGAACAGTGGTTTCCCCCAGGCCCTCTCTCTGTTCTCCCTCACCCATCTCGCCACTTGACGTTGATTCTTTCACTAGCGGATTTTGCTGCATCTGAGCAGCTCTGAGGGAGGACTGGCAGAGTGGTCTTTGGAGCTTTTGGCATTCTTGTCTACTGTCCTTGTAGTTCTGTAAGACTTGGAACACATTCTGATCAAAAACTCTGGGAGTTGATGACTTCAAGACTCCCAACCGGTCTTGGCTCTTCACCTGTGTAAACTGTGTGTTTGAAGGAGGAAATCTCGGGTGGATGACAGAAGTCTCCAAGTTTATTCAACCAGGCTCACAAAAGCCTGCTGAGAACACTGGGCTGATCTCACATGTTCAGTAAAATGTTCTAGGATTCCAGCACAACCTGCTTCAGGAACATACACACAAGACACATGTGGAGTTCCAGTGGGCTTTTATTGAGATAAATTAACAAAAAGAAGCAATCAAGATTTTACCAACCATCTTTTCTAAACCATATATAAACTCTTTACTCAGGTCCATAGACATGTACATACAACGTAACACATCCCAACAAAAACATACCCCCCACTGGAACATTTGCCAATTAAACAGAAAGCCAATTCTCCCTTTCCCCAAAATATTTTCAAAGTTTTAAGTTCCCACTGTTCAAAGTGGAACTGGTCCCTTGTGGCTAGGGACATTAGAATTTTCTCATATTTATTGAACAAAAATTTTAAGTTTTTTCTAATTTGTTTTGTTTCAAATAAGGGAAGTGACTTTGTTTTCTCCAGGCACCCTTCCCAAGAACCACTGGTTAAAATTCAGCAGCCTGTATCTTTAACTAACCCAGGCCCACCCCTCCCTTGCCCTGCCCAGCTTGTCTACTGGAGATTTAAATACACTTCTGTTGGAGTCTGTCAGCTGTGGAGGGGCAGAGTCCAGGCCAGCTCCCTCTGACCTCATACTGGTTACAACCCTTGGACACTTAACTCTTTATTCCAAAGATGAGTTTTTACAACACAGAAGAAAATAGATTTGCTTTGGGAGTTTTAAAAAACTATCTTTATGAATATAAAGTAGAACTACAAACTCACCAAAGTCTGCATAAATTCACCCAAAAGCTGGCTTACTTCACCTCCCATGAGGTCAATAATTTTGCCTGACAAAGACATTTGGCAAGAAAATCATTCCACAGTAACAATTTTAAAGATACACAGAAAAGTTGAAAAAAAAAAGTATCCAATTAAAATAACATGGCTTAATTCCCAAGAACTTATTTCATCTTTCTGTTACTCATCTGAAGGTCAGGAGTGTGGCTAAAGGCAGTTTCCCATGAGGTTATGAGCTTCCAAAGTGTTTCTAAATCCTTAGTGCAGACAACCCTCCCCCCTTTGGGACACAGTACCCTCCCCTCCCACCCCTATTAAAAAAAAGAGAAAAAAAACAAATCAAACGATCAGAAGGAGATGTTCTGTTTCCAACACTTCCACTGAACTCTGTGCTGTGCTCTGTTCTCACTGAGCACAATGGTGTCCAGCACAAAGCCAGCGGCCACGGGAAGATGCCCTCATCTCATTCTGAACATGAACTATGACAACCACCCACCCTACCCCAAGATTTTGGGTCAACCCTGTATTATAATGGTGATACCATTTGGAAATAATTTAGAATTAGTTAGGCTATCCTTTCCAGAAAAAATTATTTTATGGCAAATATATTTCACTCCCACTGGAAAGTTTCATTCACCTTCAACATAAAGGGGGAGAAAAACAAAACAGGCCCTGAGGCAGCAAGGTGTGTAACAGTCTTGTAACTCATTACACAACTATATAACCAGAAGCTAAAACCACTGAGGTGGATATAGTCTGAATATTCAAAATAGGACGTATTCTCTCATCCAAATGAACTACTAGAAAAACAAAATTATTTAAAAAACACTGGAAAGAACCTGAAAGACAATTTCCAATAGGAGTGATGTTCCTTATTAGGGGATTAAAAAAAAAAAAAAAAACAGAGACCAGGCTTTTTGACCCAGTCAGTAGGGCATCTTCCCATTTCCAGCTCGTGTGAGCAAAGCACCACACCCACCGCAGCCTCTCTAGTGTCCTGCGGCGGTGCCAGCTAATCCAGGTGCCACAACTCATCAGAGGCTATAATCAGTAATGCTCTCCATGTGGAGTCTGTGCTTTAAGAGGGACCCGTAGGCATGTGGCACCTGGCAGAGCAGCCCAAGGTTGGCAAGAGACTGCACTCTTTCTGTTGACGCACCCACATGCCCTTTGGCGAGGTACCAAACTGCATTTATATTCCTTTCCTCCGATGTTCTATATGGAAGATCCCTCATCTCGCCAAAGGCAGGAAGAAAGAGAGCTGCATCAGTACAAGGGCAAGATTTGTTGGTCAAAAGGAGATATTTTAAGACCCCTCCCCCACCCTCCCTAAAAAAGTGACTTCCTTAATTTGGTTTGTGTTTAGTAACCAACATCGACTGGACTTGCCTTCTGGGGTTTGTACTGTGCAGCTCTTGCTACAGTTGTTTCGGAGTCGGAGTTGGGGTTATGTCTGATCAGGAGGCATCTGCAGGATTTTGATCCCCAAGGAATCTGGGGTGAGTCACATAGTTTTGCTTTAGAGCTAGGCAAAGTCAGAAAGCAACTTTGAATAACTGATTCCTTTATTCAGGTGAGTTAAGCATGAAAGCATACACATGACATACCTTGTCATAGTTTTAAGGTTTTGAAAAATGATGGAATATGGAAATCAATTTTTTTAAATTTTGTTTTTTGTTTTTTTTGTTCCCTAGATGCCTCCTGACTGACCTAGTATACTGGGTTAAAAGGGAATTAAAAACATTTGTTTTAAAAAAAAGTTCACTGGTTTGATTCATCTCACTCCTTTTGCCTGGAGATCAGGCCAAACATCAAGCATGTTGGGAGGGGCACAATTTAAAGCAACACTACCCACCAAAAGCATCTGCCAGCGATTTACAATGCAAAATGACAGACAGCATTCTCATCAGGGCACAGAGAACAATGGCAATTTCTGCAGCATGGAAGTTACAGCTTTGGGGGGTTGCCCATTCCTGCAGAGTGCATGTATCAAGGTGGGCTGAGGGCAACTCACTCCCACACCACAGGTGACTGAAGCAGCTAAGCTCCGCAACTGCCAAGCCCACGGAGCCGGTACTGGCTGGTCCTCTGAAATGCAATGCACGCTTTACACACTCTGATCTCAGCCTGCACTTAACACCCTTCTCACACTCCAAGGAAGATCAATCTTTGTTCCCCTGAGCAGAACTTGGGAAGTTCCTCAAACTTTTAGGGCAGGAGAACCAAATCACAGAGCTTCTCAAAGCCCTCAGGAATTGGATTTGTGATGCTTCCTTGCTCTCTGCTAAAACCACCGTAAATGCATCACAAGAGCAGTGCAGCAGACAGTGTATCCTGGGCTTCTGGGCCCCTTTCAACCAGGGCCCTGCAGAGGTCGGCTTCCTACAGTTAGAGGCCAAAGCACTTTTGAAGAATTTAGTGTTGCAGAAAACTGAGCCCCTCTCATCTTTAGCTGCTCCCATAATCACTCTAATCCCCTTAATCCCAGCAACCTTCATCCAAAAGAAAAAAAATAATATATATATGTATATATATATATATCTATATATATGAACCCAGAAAAAAAAACTTATTTACAAAGTTTATACAAGTATACACATCCAATCTTCTACGGGACGCGCTTTGTTACAGAGGAAAGAGGCCAAGGCTCCAGCATGTCTCCATGTCAAGCGCCATACTGCTCATGGAGGCGTGAGCCAGGTTAGTGTTCCGCTGCAGAGCACAGAGGCTTGTCATATGGCTCCTGCAGTGAGAGGCTGTCCTTTCCTTTGGGAGCGACGATGGTGCGTCTGCTCAGCCCAGAAGAAAATTGTACTTGGTATTGTTTTTTTTAAATACATGTATTTACAGTGTGGATGGACTGCAGTTGTGAATCAACTCCTCCATACAAAGAAAAGGAAAATGGCGCTAACATCACTAGTCCACCTTCCGGCCCTGGGCGTGAGTACTGGTAGAACAGGAAGAGACTTCAACTTGAAACAAAAATGAAGAGGCAAAGAAGATTGAAAAAAAGAAAAAAGAACATGACTTTGTTGATTCCTTGGGCTTTGTATAAGGATGATAATCTTAATGGTTTCGTAGCATAAGGCACTTCGCACAAATAAGTAATAAGCTCTTTAGGCTTAAGAAACGATGACTAACCAGGGAGAAGTTGAAATGCAGTAGAGTCGGCTATTGGAGAATTGTAGACAGGTGCGTTCACCAAGGTTCTTCTCTTCTTAGGGTTTCTCCCCTCTTCTCGTCCCCTTTTCCCAGAAAACATTTTTAAAAACCAGCAGTTAGTGCAACGAATGTTCAGTCAGCACACAGTGCAAACAAGTGGAACAAAAACGTCTATTTCTTCTTTTCAGTTTCTCTTCACCAGTTTAAAAAAAAAAAAAAGAAAAATGTCTGAGCTCTTATATAACTCTTCATAGTTCCAAATAAAGATGAAAAAACCCACAAAGAGAAGAGCATCCCCCCCAAATGATGTGTCACAGATCCAAGGAGCCTTTTGCAGTTTGTCAAAGCCTATGGAAAAAAGTTTAGAAATGTAAAGTTAACATCCATGAGAGCAGAGAACAGTCCTCATCCTGAACCTCTTCAGTATTCTCTTCTGAAACTACTAGGAGCTACTGGTTCCAGGAAAGGATTGATTAAAGCTGGATCCGGTGGCTCAGGCATGTCAATCTAAGCATGCGGAAGACTGAGAACAGAGGATCTGAGTCAGGAGGACAGGTATGAGTTGGTTTTGGCAAGCTAGGGGTATACACTCTGTCTCAGGGGGAAAAATACATTATCATCAACCAACATATTCCACAACATTCCCCCACATATCCCAGGAGAAGAGCTTCAAGTTCTGATGGAAGAATGACAGCCCTCACTCATAATTAAGAGGCCAAGTGTGGTGGTTGGTACATATCTTTAATCCCAGCACTTGGGAAATGGAAGCATGAAGATTAGGTTCTCAAGGCCATCCTACAGTAGATGAAGAGTTTGAAGGCTCTTCTGACTCCCTGAACCTCTCTCAAAAAACAAATAAAAAAGAATGTGGAAAAAGCTTTTCATTTTGTTTTGGAGACAGGGCCACGCGGCCCAGAATGACTTCAAACTCATAATTCCCAGGTTTCCACAGTGTGGGGACTACAGGCACTCACAACTGCACACAAGTTGGCAAATTCTCTGAAGCTACAGTAACAGTTAGGCAAGAGCCTGGGCCACCAGGAAATGAACAAGCAGCCCTGTAACAAGTTACGAAGCTTACTACAGGACTGCAGATTTTGTGGTAGTACAGTGCTTTGCCCTGGGTTAAATTTCTAGGATTAAAGAGGAAAAAAAAAAAAAAAAAAAAGGTGTGCACTGTAAATTAAAAACAAAGCACTTCTCAAGCCCAATCAATGTGTCTCTATGAAAACTCTGAAATAGCCTCGACTTGCTTATTGTCAAACCCCGCTTCACACCTAACTGGAGCCACAAGTGCAAAGTGAGAAGAAACCAGAGGGTAATTAAAGACATGTTTATAATGTGTTAAATACTTGATGACAAGGTATTATAGGTAATTTAACCTAATTTATTAATGTACTCCCCAAAAAAGGCCAGGTAAAAAAGGGGAGCAGGTAACAGTTTTAAACCAAGACTGCCAATGCCCTTTGTCTTTCATTATCCCAAGAAGCCAAATCTGTCCGGTGTCACTCCCAGCTCATGCTCAGGAAGCTGTCTCCAGGGCAGCACAGGCTTACTCTACTGACACGGCTGCCCACCAAGAGTCTTGGTTCTCATTCCTATCTACGACACTGGGCACAGCTACGGAGGTCAGAGGAGGAAGACCTACGCCTGAAGGTCTGATCACTGTTACCGGTACATACGTGCTTGTTAAGGCTTCTCATCTTCTACAGGCTCACTGTGGTATTCTGCCACATACAGGCTCTTGTCAATGTTGCTTGGGATAGGTTTAATTTCTGTGCCCAGTTGCTCCTCAATACTTTTCAGGTTGAAGCGATCATCATATGTGATCAAGTTGATGGCTAAGCCAAGATGACCAAAGCGACCTAAAAAACAAAACAGAAAGGGTTTAATGAATATAAAATGTTAAGAAATTTAAAAAGTGGCAAATAAAATGAATTAAAGCAACATGTATGCGCAGGTCTGTAATTTGCCAAAAGACACAGCATTACTATTTTCAATTGGTGATATTCTGAATAGCAAAAACAAGACAGGAAAAAAAAAAAAAAAAAAAAAAAAAAAAAAAAAAA